AAAATGTTGTTATAAAACCTCTTAAAAGTTTTTATCACAGAGAAGGCAGAGCTCATTTCTGCCTTCAGACTGACGGCGCGCCGGAGTTTGCGCGGCGTGCGCGCTTATTGAATCTGTGTGTGTGTGTGTGTGTGTGTGTGTGTGTGTGTGTGTGTGTGTGTGTGTGTGTGTGTGTGTGTGTGTGTGTGTGTGTGTGTGTGTGTGTGTGTGTGTATGCGCACGCGCGCGGCACAGCTCCATGAGCCGCTCAAGTCACCACGTCTCGTTATTGGCGCTATTTAAACCAACGTAAAATTACTTCTGCCCAGCCCAGATGTGCTCACTTGTGCACCCGTGAGCCGTGGTGCCGCTGGAACGCGTCTGACCTCTGACAGACGCACTGTGAACTTCAGATCTTCAGCGCGCTGTTAATAGCCTGAATGGGAATCATTTCTTGATTTATTTTGTTACATCCACAATGTTCTGTGTGTGAGGTTTACAATGTCAGAACACCTGCATGAGACAGGTGTTAATTACAATCTGCCAGAATGACTCACCACCTTCAGATTCCTCCAACACCGTTAAAATGATCAAATACGGAACATATCGGCGTTCGCAGGCCAGAGTGCTGAAGCTCGGCGCATTGTTATTATGAAGCTAGGGCACATGTGGAGGACACACGCGCAAAAATATACTTGTTTTCAATTACATTTATTGGGCCCACTTACTTTTTCTTTGGCCCACCCACAAATGAGTTTCTACGCTAATGGTGACATATGACAGACTTCTCTGAGCTCCGCAGCCATTACACTTTTCACCTCGCGCACCCCCTAGCGGCAGCTCGCTCACCCCCGGGGGTGCACGCACCACACTTTGGGAATCCCTGTACTGTATTCTCACAAGTTTGCTCAATCTGAGAGCCTCAGGGTAAATGTGCTGCTCTAAGCTTTGCATTTGGCGTCCTGGTTTTTAATTATTTGGTGATGTTCAACGCCAACGGAGTTCTGTTTTTCCATCCTGCTTGTGCGGAGACGAGCCAAACCCCTCCCTTCCTTGTGTAATGAGGAAACATCTATGGATGGCCAGAGTGGCCAAATTACCTCAAACATATTGTAAGGGTTTGAATAGTTAACTATAGGGTTAACGTTTTATTTTGAAGCTGAGCTCAACGAGTGAGAAATGTTGTTCCGGTTTGTTCCACTGTGGTTTGCTATGCTAGTAAATACTCTGTTACAAGCGATTCTGTTGAAAAAGTGAAGAGTTTGTGAGGCGCGGGTTACGGCGACAGTAGCCCAAAAATAATACTCATAAAAGAGCAACCAGAGACTCTGAGTCATTACAGTATAATCGCAGATATGAGCCAATACTGTTAGATTCCAGCCATGTTTGCCCTAATAACTAATAACTCCACGGTGCATGACCCATGTGATCTTCAGTAGATGCAATTACGTCATCATAAATTTAGCTTAACATGATAGATTTTTTTCCCTCTGGACAAGAAATATATAATATGGGCCACCTCTAAATGTAATTTAAATAATTTTACATTAATTACCAGTGATAGATCTAAGACTGAGTTAAGAGAGCTCATTCTGCGTTTTACACAGACCGTATAACACAGATTGTTTTAAAATAGAGATGTCTTCCCTTATATTATTAATTAACTTATTATTCAAACGTATTCCCATCATGAACTTCAGGGTTTCCCCCAGAAAATGAGTTAAGTCTGGTGGATACGGCCGTCAGAGGGGAAAGGGGGTGGTGGGGGTGGGGGTCGCTCGCTCCGTCCTGCTGCTCTCTGTCCCGCAGCGCTCCTCCGTTAGAGCGGGGGTGCAGGGGTTGCACACGTTCCACTGCTGTTTGTCACCAGTATCAGCTGATGGAGGGCTCTAGTTTCGGTGCGCCATTCGTGTCAGCGGACATGGTAGGGTCGGGGAGGGGGGCGGGGCATTACGCTTAGCCTGGCGGGCGCAAGTTTGGTGCAGTTGTGATTTTGTTAGAAGAAGTTAAAGTTTGAATTCTTTACAGGCAGCACTGTCCAGTGGTATTATTCAATTCCGGGCCTGGGGGGCCGGTATCCAGCACGTTTTAGTGGTTTCTCTGCTCCCACACACTTGATTCAGTGGTTGAGTCACCTGTGCAGCAGCTCTTCAGGCTCTGCAGAAGGCTGGGAATCACCTGCTGATGGAAATCAGGTGTGTTGAAGCAGAGTTGAAACTAAAACGTGCTGGATTCCGGCCCTCCAGGCTCGGATTTGAATACCCCTGAAATAGACCATTTGCTGCAGTAATTTACTGATTAAATTAATAAATAACCTAATAGGTCCATTAAATGATGTAAATCTGGACAGATGGATGTTTGAAGTTTAAAAATAACACATTACTGAGTTTTTCTTCTGCAGAGCTCAGGAGATGTGCTGAGATTGTAACAAGTATATATGTAGTAAAAAAAAAAACAACCTAATTCTATTATAAACATTTGACCTGCTGAATAAGCCAAACACAGAAAGGTCAACGTCTACTCTCCAGTGTTATCATGTTCAACCACAGACGTCTATTTGAGTGTGAATCCTGATTAGGGTGACTGTGGGGTGGAGCTTCTTGTGTCTTCTGCATGAGATATGAGACTGAAGGTTGCAAAACTGCTGCTTTGGTTCAAGCATTGGGAAATAGTTTAAAGTCAGCAGGGAATATAGTTTGATCATTTGTTGAACTAGGCTTTTCAGTCCATCTCCCATTTCCTTTTAATAAAGTTTTCCGGTGAGCCACGAAGCAAGATGGCAGCACGAAGTAGCGATCTGATACTTAAGTTCTGCCTTTGTTTCCAGTGTTTGAGAAATGTTTTCTTGGCAATGCTTAAAACCGAGAGAAGTAGGTGAGAGTTCTTTGCTTCAAGATGAATGTTTGTGATGTCACCAAGCAGGCAGAGTGAGCGGGAGATGGGGATGGTACAGTCCTGGCGTTGTGAAAGGTCCTCACATAATCCCTGCCAAAATGTATTAGTTGGGCATTCCCAAACCGCATGGAACAATCTTTGCTCTATGTAGTGTGTGCTTTGCAGGACTTTGTAGTAAATTAGCTGTAGATGGCAGTTTTGAGCCCTTTTAAATATGTTTTTACTAGGGATGCACCGATAGGAAATTTTTGGGCCGATACTTGTTATTAATATCACAGTTATGGCTGATAACAATATTTGCCAATACCGATATCCTGATATTAATGCTTCTAAAAGCAGCAGATTTTAGAATGAAAATGATTGAAGCTGAATTTACGTTACGTACACACACCACACTCATTTATGATTCTGAGATGATTACCATCACGGTCACATGACTAAAAAAATACACACCACGCCTCTCACCCTGTGAACCAGGCAAACAAATGGAGACAAGATGGAAAAATTATTGCTTGTTACAGGGTATCTGCGGGTCCTTAAAAAGTCTTAAATTTATTTTTCCAAATTTAAGGCCTTAAAAATCCTTAAAAATGACAAATAATCCTTAAATACAGTTTCCAAAGGTCTTAAATGTCCAAAGACCCAATAAACAAGATTCTGTTATTTCTATAAAATTTTCATAAATTTCTAGTTGGTGTTCAGCATTTTTGTGTATGATATTGGCATAAGCAGAACTGTACACATTCAGTTGGTTGTGAAAGGGGGCTATTTTTAGATGAGCACGTTAGCTGGTTAAGCTAGTGGGAGCTTGCGCCATGGGGAAGTGAAAGTTTAATGGTAACTGGATGGCTAATCCCACGTTGGCGACGTGGTTAGCACCGGTTCCAGGCAATAGCTGGAAATTATAGCTTAAATTTAATTTTAAAAAATTGCTTAAATTTGGTCAAAGTGGCCTTGAAAAGGTCATAAAAAGTCTTAAATTTGGCTCCCTTAAACCTGCAGATACCCTGTTGTTAATATCAGCCCAGTTTTATATATCAGACCGATATGTTACAAAATGAGTAACATCTGCCGATACAGATATTGATGCTGATATATTGTGCATCCCTAGTTTTTACAGATGTCCTTCCACCCTAGGTCAAAGTTAATAGAAAAAGCTCTCATTTAGAAACAGGCAGAGAGAGGGATTCATCTACTTTGGAAATTGTCATATACATTTTAGATACTAAATTTGGGGGTTGTAGTTTTAGGAAGTTTGTGATTATTAATGGAGGCTCTAAGTCAAGATACCCAATATTAAATATGTTAATTGAATAATAGACTTAAGTTGAACATATTCAAAATGTTAAATTTTCTGTTAATTCCATCTACAAAAGCTTGAAATGGTGTAAACTTAGCACCTTGGATTATTGTAAGTTAAATATTCCTCTTCCCTTCCAAGTTGTTAAGTTTCAGATGGGTGTACGTCTGCAAGGGAACAGTGTGAACCCCCCTTTTGTTTATTTGTTTATTTATTTATTTTTGCTAAACCTCCCTGAACCGTCTACAGGTGGTTCAGAGTCCTCCAAACACACCCACATCACCCCGCTTCTCCGCCAGCTTCACTGGCTGGTCTATAGGGCCTTACATGAACAAGCACCATTATACATTGGTGATCTTCTTAGTCCCTACACCCCTAGCAGGTCCCCGAGGTCCAGTGACCAAAACCTACTGGTTGTGCAGCACCAGGCTAAAGACCAAAGGTGACAGATCATCTGTATGGCGCGGTATGGGGGCCAAAATTAAGACTACTGCCCAGCAGCAGGAGGCTATATAAGTTCCGAAGCAAACTACTGATCTGATTAATGATAAGCTGGCGCCGGTAACTGAGAGGCTGGCGCTGCTTACTGAGAAGTAGCACCTTTACCGGCGTCACTACTAGATATGCTAGGGACTAGCAGCCCTCGGCTGGTAATTGACTGGATCTCACACTCCCTCTGCTGTCTATTAGCATGGATAGGCTAGCGTTAGCCTGGACGGGCTGGTGTTAGCATTGGAGAGGCTAGCCATTAGCGTGCCTAGGCTGGCCACTAGCTGGATTTCCTACCTCCTCGACGGACCATTAGCATGGATAGGCTGGCGTTAGCATCGGAGAGGCTAGCCATAAGCGTGCCTAGGCTGGCCACTAGCTGGATTTCCTACCTCCTCGACGGACCATTAGCATGGATAGGCTGGCGTTAGCATCGGAGAGGCTAGCCATAAGCGTGCCTAGGCTGGCCACTAGCTGGATTTCCTACCTCCTCGACGGACCATTAGCATGGATAGGCTGGCGTTAGCATCGGAGAGGCTAGCCATTAGCATGTCTCGGAGAGTCACTTTATTAGATGCGGTTTTTTTTTTTTGTTTTAACTTTTATTAAACGTATGACATACGGTGAGACCAGCAATCACAGTTGCTTCTTTGACAGAACACACTGTTCTACAGATTAACTTTAAGCATATTGTAAAGCTGACAGCCTGTTAGCATTGATCAGGTGCTGCGTAAACTCCATTCTATTAATTACATGTTGATGGCGTTTTCTTTTTAAATAGTTTTTTGCACATATCAGAGAAAAAGCCAGAGCTAACTAATATGTACTTTTCATCTCTGAATTTTAAATCCTTTGTATTGAATTACAGGTTAGTAATTATTAAAATTGTGATGTTATCTTTATTAAAACTATATATGTAAAATGTGTCTGATAATCATTTCCCTTAGGGGAACAATAGTTTTGTTGCACTAAACTTACTGTTGTCTCTGCTGAAGGTTATGGGATGTGAAGTTTTCTCCTCAGATGATCTTGTCAAAAGAAAAATAGAGTATGGCTGAATTTATACTTTATACCACACACAGTAAGTCAAACTTTACTACAACAAACAGCTGGAGTTTGACCTGAATTTTAAAAGTGGAAAAAGAACTTTAATTAGTCAGTATCCTAAGTCACCGCCTGCTAATGTATTCAAATTTAAAGCTCAATAAAACTGTAGCACTTCTTCAATAAGTTTTTGTAGATTAAAGAAATTCACCAATATCACAAGAAAGTCACATATTTTACTGATAAAAATGACTGTCTTAACAGTGTTGTAGATGTGTAGTCAGTATTTTTGCATTTTGGTGCAGTTTGTTTAATAAGGGCTGGTTGTTCATTCAAAAAGGTATAGGAACGACATTCATGTAGTGCTACAAGTACTCATGCCTCAATAAAAATCACTTAAGTGGAAGAAATACAGAACACTCTGCAGTAGTGAGCTAAAGATTTTTTTAATGTTGCCATCAAAAATTCAGCCAGCCGCAGTGCTTCCATGTACAAATCTGCTCCAAAACATGAGCTGGCTGTTAACGGGTCTATTCTGTCCAACAATCTGTTGACATTTTATATTAATGAGTCTGGATGCTCTGGCACGACAATGTCAGCAGTGGAATCAGAGGCGGGTAAAGATCCCTCAAAGTCATTGCCCCATTCACTGAGGCTGACTTGTGTGGACAAACAAATATTCAAAACAATAGACTCAATAGAATCAGAATGAGAACAATGGAGCACATTTGGTAAAATCTGTACTCTAACCAATAAAACTGTTTTCTGTGGGAGAAATTGGCACCTAAAATGCAAAGGCTAATATGAATAAAACATTTCAAAATAATTCTATTAGCCAACCTTGAACAAAGGAACAATCATTTAATAACTATGATAGTCCAAACCCTTCACTTGCACCAATCCCAAAAACCATGTGGCTTTTGAATTCTTGGTATGTTGTGTGGACTATGGGGAGATACAGCCGGTTTGTGCATGTGTTAGCTTTTGGGTATTTGGAAAACTCCCCACATTCCTCAGGATCATGTAGAAAGCACAGAGTTGGACTGGGCCTTAGGTCAAGTGGAGGAAAGGATTTCAAGCCAGTGGAGAAAAACAGGATCATCTCCAACGAGACATCTGAATCTTCATCTACAAAATAAAGAAAAAATGACATAATGTTGGAAAGTACTGGAAGCATTGTTTCTATAAGCATGTATATTCATAAACTGTAGGGTTAAAGTGACATTCTAAATATAATGCATAAAAATGTAAAGTTTTTAAAAAGGCCTAACCATGTAAATTGTAGTTGTTTTTTTATCATCTTCCAGGTTAAATTGTTATGAGTTGTTCTATTTCAGAAACAAAAACAAAGCAGAAATAAAAACAGTTTGTGTTTTTACAACGTACAGGTGAAATTAGAAAAATGAGAATCTGGAGCAAAAGTTACTTTATGTCAGTAATTCAACTTAAAGGTGAAACAAATCTATGAGTAGACGCATTCCATGCAAATCCAGATAATTCAACTGTTTATTTGTTATAACTGTAACAAAATGTTATGGCTTACAGCTGATGAAAACCCCACATTAAACATCTCAAAAATTTATGAAACATTACTGAAATAAATGAACTTTGCATCATATTCTCATTTTTTTAGTATGCCTCCCATACCCTCTGCTTCCAAGATGAAGTTTTCCCACAGACAGAGTATCAAGTTCTCAGTGGAACGCTTGTTGGACCCAGGGGTGTGTAGCACAGGTCTGAATGCATTTTTGATGTTTTCGGCTGTTATTCGGTTGTCGTGATGACACATGATCTTCAAGAAGAACTCCTTGTTTTCCATCATGGCAGAATAAACACCCAGGGTCTTTAAGCCATCTTTGAACCTAGCATGACAAAATATATTTAGCAAGTGATTTTCAAATTAATATATAAAAAAAAAGAGCGAACATTGTAACGTGCTATATGAAATCTTTGTACAAAAACAAAGATTAGTAATAGCCAAAGCTTTTGGGAAAATGCTATAAAATCCAAATCCAGCGTAGATCCAGTTAAATAAAGGGCTTTGAACTACAGCCCTGTAATGAGATTGTGATCCTGAAAGATCTCATTGCAAATCTTGCAGGAGTGGCTGACTTTGAGGTTACAACAGACAGCTAAATTTACTAGAAGGTGGAGTGCTAACAAAGGCTGGTGAATATGAAACTGAAAAAAGAAAGGAAAATTAGTGCCTCAAGTGGAGGAGTTTAAGTATCTCGGGGTCTTGTTCACGAGAGAGGGAAAGATGGAGCGCTAGATCGATAGGCAGATTGGTGCTGCTTCTGCAGCGACGCAGGCGTTGTACTGATCTGTCATGGTGAAGAGAGAGCTGAGCCAGAAGGCAAAGCTCTTGATTTATCAGTCGATCTACGTTCCTACCCTCACCTATGGTCACAAGCTTTGGGTAGTGACAGAAAGAATGAGATCGCAGATACAAGCGACCAAAACGAGTTTCTTGGAGAGTGATCCAGTGTGTAATAAGGGTCTACATTTACATGTCTATTTCATCTCATTCATTCTATAAGATTCCATGACGGATCCAAGGTGCTGAACACAACACAAATAAAACATAAAAGCTTTAAATAAAGTGTAACAATCGTAAAACCAACATAGAAATATTAAAAGAGAGAAGTTAAAACAGACAATTAAAATACAGTAAAAATAATAAGAGGCAGGGGCAACAAAACCAAGTTAAAAAAATGCTAATCCTGGAATGCCTTGACATAAAAATGGGTCTTTAAAAACCATCAATGGAGGTGACTGGTGCACCACCAAAGGCATCTGGTTTCAAAGTGTATGAGCCAACACCAGAAAAACGCACGGTCCCCTCGTGACCTGCACTTGGTGCACAGAAACATCAACAGCTCCCTGTCATCAGAGCAAAGGTCCCGCGAAGGGGCATGTCTATGCAAAAGGCTGACAAGATAATGCTGTAGCCAGGGACGAAATTTTGATTTCAGAAGTGGGGGGGACACAGCAGGCTTGTGCGGATTTGGGGTGGGGGGTGTTATGTAAAGACCCCTTGACACGTCACGTGCCCATCTCAATAATTTTCCATCCTCTCTCTCTCTCTCTCTCTCTCTCTCTCTCTCTCGCTCTCTCTTTATATATATATATATATATATATATATATCAAAGTTAAAAAATGTACAACTCTATTATTATTTTTATTTATTATCATTATTGAAGTGCAGTTTTGGCTGTTGACAATGGACAGGCCATTGTATTTATTGTTTTGGGTCTTTTTTTATTGTTTTTGGTGCAACATTTTCAAACGGAGTGAGATTCCTTTTTTATTTAATTTTTGTTTGTTATTTTTATTCATTTAGAAGTTCTGGTTCTGGACATTTCAATGTTAAATGAAGGTTTATTTGTTGCATTTTAAAGGGTGTACTTGCATTATTATGATATATTAACATTATATTAGTGGTTATTTTGGTCTAGATAATGTTGACAATATCGTTTATCATCAACAATTTGTTGGACAAAATATCGTCCAGCAAAATGTGTTACTTTCCCAGGCCTAGTCAAAAGTATAAAAATTATTTATACATAAACGGTCCCTCCTGAGATCTGGCCGTTTGTTCATTTGCTGTGTTAGAGGACATGCTGAACTAATGTTTTACACATGATCATCACCCTAACATTTGAGTGTATAAAAACATATTAAATGTTTTTTTTCCCTTAAAAGTGTTTAAACAGTTGTTGCATTTCAACACACAAAAAATAAAAGGAAAAAATAAGCTAAATCTAATGAAAAGTGTACATCTTTGACATTAAGCTTAAAAAAATCTGTTGACGATGATGATACTGTTCATTTTTCAGAGCTTTTTAATGTGAACATATACATTGCAATAGATACGTTTACAATAAAGTTAAATGATAAAAGTTTTGAAGTTACACTTCTACTACTACTACTACTAGTAATAATAATTATGATGATAATAGTAATTAAAAAAATAATAATTATAATAATACGAATAAATTGTGTCTGAGGAGTCAGTTATGTGGAGGAGATGAGTTTGTAAAAGTTAGTTTTGAGTATGTTTGTGAAGGAGGAGGTGAGTCTGAGCTTAATGCAGGGGTGTCACATGTCCAACTTACGTTTTGACTTTGAAAGAAGTCTCTTATATCCACTTTTCGTTTTCTTGACATGCTGCCTCCTGGCTGTGCCTAACTACCAAAGACTCACAAATGAACACTTATTCAAATGTTATGTAATGGAAGCTGAGCTGAGCTCTGATATTACACAGCGTCTAGTTGACGATGTGACTCAGTACCGGTGTTCCCTAGCGGCTCCAAACTAGCAAAACAACGTGAGCACGTTCTGACTGTTTACAACTTGAGTGACAGCAGCAACAGCCAATAATACGTTAGCAAGTATCAGCAGAGCCAATAGATTAGCTTTTGGGCGGGTCTAATAGTAAACCGGTTTCCGTTTCGGTCCTAGTGCTCAACCAAATCCATTTAATGGAGCGTAATATTGTTCTTGGACGGAAAAAAGTGCAGGGGACCAAAACTGCCTTTTGAAAAAGTGGGGGGGACATGTCCCACCCGTCCCCCCCCAAAAATTACGTCCCAGGCTGTAGCCATTCCTTGTAGGGACTTGTATGTCAGTACCAAGACCTATGGTCAGCTAGCTATGGGCTAGCTGACATGCTAGTGCTGGAGTGTGCATCCAGGAGTGTGGTTCCTGCACGTTTTCAAATCTTTCCCTGTGTGATCACAGCTGATTTGTTTGACTTAGTGATGAATCGCTCCTGTAGAAAACATTGAAGGCTGAGGAGACATTTCAGCGGTTAGATTAAGTGTTGAAAACAGCACATGAGGAGGAGAGTACAGCAGTTTGTTTTTATAACAGTGAATTAAAACAACACCAGAGGGTGTTAAAGCCAAAACTTTGTGTGTCTTTATAGCCAGGCAACATCTAAATCAGGGCTATTCGTTTGGGCCTCGAGGGCCAGTATCCAGCACGTTTTAGTGGTTTCTGTGCTACAACACACTTGATCCTGTGCAGCATCTCATCAGGCTCTGCAGAAGCCTGTTAATCACCTGCTGATTGAAATCAGGTGTTTTGAATCAGGGTTAAAACTAAAACATGCTGGAAACCGGTAATCGAGGCCCAGAATTGAGTCTGATCTAAACCATGCAGGGCAATGTGCCTTGAGGGACAGGATTGGGATTCACTCCCATCTGGCAAGAACAGTTTCTTCCCATGTGGTCGGAGCCAGGAATGTCAATCATAGAGCTGCCCACTCCATTTGCTTTGCTTCAGTCACATAACCCTGTGTTGTGTTGGCACCTCAACTGATCTGCTCTGACCAGTACCTAGACTGTCTTGTATAAATAGTACCCGCTTCTCTAATTATTGCCAATATTATATTTTTATCTTTTCATTGGGTTTCTTTCTTAATTCTAATTTTTGCTAATCATTTATTTTTTCTTGCACCAAGTACCGCAGCAATTACCTAATGTTGTGATTTCCTGCACACATAACAATAAAACCCTTCTGATTCTGAATCACTGGGGCACTGTTTGAAGAATTTGCATCTGGTGTGTGTTTGGTATAAAGTAAAATAGTGTAAGTAATATGACTGTTGTGAGTTCTGCTTTTAATAGTCACTAGCACAAGGTTGTGTGTACTATCATTACCTCTCAAATGCAGACCGTGTTCTGCCAAAGATGTACCAGTGTGCAGTGTCCAGAGCCATTTTTTGTGCATTTTCAGGTGTTGCCAAGTTGCGTCGTGACCCTGCCAAGTCAATGGTGTCTTCAAGGTTCTCAGGAACTTCACCAGAACAAACCTATAAAATATTGTGATATATGTTTATACACCAAATAATGTATGTTATATACATAAACATGTGTATTTATATACTGGCCTTCTGTAGATCTTCTCTCAATTTCAAATCTGGAACTTCGTCAATGGTCACCGTTGTCATCTCTGGTGACTCTGTGAGTGCATGGAATAGAGTTCTGGAGAAGAACCGGGGAGCAGGTCCTCCATGGACTAGAGACATTGCAATGGTCATTGCGGCGTAGAAGTAGTCATCTCTTTCCATAGCTACAAAGGTAGAGTTTGTGTGTGGTGTGAGGAACATTAAAGATAAAAAAAACTATGCTTTGTGAAATACACTTAGAACAGATGACAGTGAAGAAATAACATTTTTTTATTTTAGCAATGGTGTGAAATTTTAATGCTATGTCAAATAGGGGTGTGCAATCATAGCTACTTCACAATTAAATTTCAATTCAGTGAAGTCTGTGATAGAGACTACCCCCACACCCACTTTATACCGCTATTGTGGAATCTTATTAAAAATACACGATCGCATTCGCACCACACTACTGCCACAGATCGAACACTTATAAACGAACAAACGCCCCCCTGGTGCTGCCTCAGCTTTGCAGCAAAGTAATGCTGTAGTTTTATGAAAGAGGCTGGAGTTGCGGGACAGTTTTATTGATCATTACTTGATAGTTAGCTGGTTAGGATGAACAACCACCGGCTTTTTCTCTTCATCTAATCCGTACTGTAAACATGTAAGGGGCTGTCACATGTTGGTAGAGTTGTTGGTGTATTTTATTTTAGCTTTACACAACTGTCCTTTAGTCCTGATGAGTGAATTCCATCAGTGGCTGAAGCTGAGAAACAGCTTCCTTGGTATGTTCTTTCTGTGTTTGGCTTCTAATTCCATTGTTGGTTCTTTTTTAAAACACAGGAAAGGTTTCTCTTTACCTTGCTGACAGGAGCTGCACAGCGTCAGCTCTGAGGATGTTTTGCTGTCGGCAAACCAAACTGTCAGCAAGGTAAAGAGAAACCTTTCCTGTGTTTTAAAAAAGAACCAACAATGGAACTGAGAAACAGCTGTTCATTGCTGTTTTGTTATTTACTGCTGATCAGTCCCCTTAAGTGTCCAGGTCGCATGCTTCATTTTCATGTTTCTTCCACGCTTTGTGGCAGTTTTTATTTATAATCATTTATGAAAGATTACAAATCAGTATTGAATTGGCACGTCTCATTGCGATGCATCGAATAAATTGTGAATCAGCACACCCCTAATGTTAATACTGCAATACTGTTCATATTTTTTGTGGCTAAAATGACTGTTGAAAAAACAACAACATTTAATACATCCTTGATTTTGACATGTCAAATAATTACTAAATATGCATCTCACCTGAACTGCAGTAAGATATGAATTTGCTGTTTTCTGGTCCTACAAACAGCTCACTACCATGCAAATAATCCAAAACAAGGGTGAAGAACTCCCGCTTTGGTCCCCCTGAATCAACTGCTCCTTCAGCTTTTCCAACATCGTCCATGAACTTGACATCGATGCGCCAATGAGGTTGAAATGACTTCCGGCTAAGAGCCAGTCTTGCACCCATCCAGATCCGAGATCTGCACACACTTACATACGATGCAGGACTTTCATCTCCATATTCAATTGCCTTCTCCAGTTCTTTGAGAATATTCTCAATGTTTCTGTATAAAAAAATGAAGCACAAATAGAACTAAGTTAGGTGTGAATCATTGCTGCACCCAGTTTTGAATAAGAAACATTTTTTCTATAGCGCCTCACTAGAAAAAAAATCACAAGGTGCTTCACAAGAACAAATCAGAGAAAAAAGCAATTATTTTAAAACATATTTTGTGATGTAAAAATTCAGAAAAAAAGTAAAATATGTGAAGGAAGAAAGAAAATGAATTACAAAAAGGTAATCACAGGATCCCAAGAAAGACAGAATTAACAGAAACAGCAGCATGACAAAAAACTACTGAGGAACAGGAGGGTTGTCCAAGTGTGAGGAAATGAAGGTGTGGATAATATGTATATTCCAGTTACATTTTTTTATCCCAAATTTAAGATTTAGAGTATTTGCCATTATTGGGTCCTGATCTTGAGCAATGCATAAAAATAAGAAGAAAACAAGTTGTCCAAAATTTTTTTTATTATCAATTATATATTTATTTCTTCTTGTATTTGTATTTTCATTAGCTTACCACCAAAAATCACTGGTTTACGAAGTACATTGATAAATTTGTTCATATAATGAATATTTAAAAGCAGAGTCATTGCTCACATTTACAATTTTTTATGTCTTCAATTTACAGCTGTATCGAGTGATGAGTGTTCCCATTTTGGGGAAGGCATGTAACGCCACGGATGGCAGGCTCGCTTTACTCTGCACAACACGTGTAGCTACCGCAAGCAGCTCTGACGCAGCTAGAGACAACGAACCCTGATGTTTTGCAGTTCCACAGCAATTTATCTTTGTTTATCAACATATCTTTCGAAGCTAACTACGTGTCTTTTGCTGCTGCTTTTTGGCCAGATCATCGTCGTAAATGAGAATGAGTTCTCAATCGACTCATCTGGTTAAATAAAAGTAAATGAAATAAAAATCAATGCTGGCTGGCTCAGTGTTTTTGCCCAAGTTGCCACCTAGAACTGGCAATGTTTGTGGCAAACTGGGACTTAATGGTAATTTGCTTTGGCAACACCTTAACCCTTACTTCACAAAGCACTTTTTTGTGCTCAAATGACTTTAACGTTAGAAAATTTAAACGATGGGTAAGGGTTAAGGTTAAGTAAAAAGCCAAAAGAGAAAGGCGGTAGATCATGCAGCTCTGTATTTTCTACCACAGGAAGTACCCAGTATGCACACATTACAAAGGTCAGTTACACTGACTTCACTGTCCGGTTTACAATATGTCCAAACGGAAGACATTTTTCTCTCCTGAAGAGACGTTACCTAGCTAACCGCTACATGTTATGTTTTCTGAATTTTGCACCCACTGTAAATTGTGTGACATTACAGTGTTGTCGTCTAACAGACAATGAATACTGATGTAGTGGAACTTGTAAAAATTAAAACTAAGCCATTGTCGTTAAGTTTCAAAGTGTCTATCACAGGATGAATTTAAAAGATATTTCTTGTTCCAATGTTGAAGCAGATTTATTTATTTTTTTGCATCCATTAAGATACTTTGAAAATCATGTGATTGGGGTCAATTTTTAATCACGTGATCGGATTAAGTATCCCTAATTAAATTCAAATAATACCTCACAATGCAAAACTAAAAAAGAAGAATGTTTAAACTATGTGCTTTGTTCTTACCGCTCATTTGTGCCTGGAGTGTCCTTATCCTCAACAGCTGGCTCAGGAACATTTTGGTTCAGCGTCCTAATAAATATTTTATAATAATAACATTAAATCTTTGTGTTTTTAATACCACAAAAATGTATCATATATTCACTGTGTAGCAAGTCTGTATTTCTCAAATAACATTAATAATCATATAAAAACACAACTGTGCTTAATTCAAAGAGAGAGCATTGTTACTTGGCCTGATATTATTCAAATTATTATGCTCATGAGTCTAAGGTGTACCAGTTCTTCAGGTTGAATTTGGCATTCAATGTCTTAATTATTTAACAAATATCCCCCTATCCTTGACAAAGGTAATAGTCTTTTTTAAAATGACACAGAAGTCAAGCTGCAGGTGTGAATAGTTGACTCAGTCTAGGGCTGCTCGATTATGGCAAAACTGATAATCATGATTGTAATGAATCTAAAGGGTCAATTTTCACCATCGAATTGACACAATAACCTTTCATGCACGCCAGAGCTGCAAAGTCAAGGTTGCACCAGCAAGAGGATCCAGACGCACAAATCAACCTTTTGCTCACTTATTGTTCAACGCAGACATAAATAAACTGCCAAGGTCTCCCACAAAAGCCCTTCTCTCTGCTAAAAGTCGTACTGCTGGATTCCTCACTCAATAAAAGTGAATCTACACGAATCCTACAAGGCATTACAACTTATATGCTAAATAATCATGTGATGAATGAACAAGATGTTTAAATGAAATGTATGAATAATCTGTGCTTAAATCAATGAACTTGAAATGAATATTGTTCTTACAATGATCCATTTATATCTCAAATCACTGTGTTTGACTTAACAAGTTAATCATTGTTTACTCATACACGTTGCAAAAAGATACATATTAAGGTTAAAAACATTTTTGTATCTGAAGGAGGGCGTGGCTTTCTGAGGAATGTTGGTAAATAACCAGAAACTTCTCAAATTCGGACTTGCCAGAATACGCCATAAATCATAACATTGTAGTTTAATAAAACAAGAATTACTTCCCGAGGGATTCAGTTTCTAGTGGAGTTCCGAACCGGCCAATTCGGAACAAGCATCCTTGAGACATCTCTTTTGCCTGTTTGCACGCTGCAAGCTGACACAGCCAGACGGCTCCCTAAAGCCTGGTTTATGCTTCTCCGTCAGCTCCGCAAGGGACAGACACACACGGATTGACGGAAGTGTTTTGCTTTCATACTTCTCCGTCTCCTGGAGAGTGTTGCAAAGCAATTGCCCGGCAGGACCACAGAGGGCGTAGCGCTGTTCTGTGGTATCCTGTCATGTATCGGTCCAAGATAGTGTGTTTATATTGTGTTTTTTGTGTATATAAGAGACTTTTAACACGGACATGTTTGTCTCTCATTCTCCCACCGCTTCATGCGCTCCCCACCTCTAAACCCACGTTTCCTGTCATTTTCGTCCACAAATAAAACGCTTGCTGTGCATCTTTTCACTCCTCCAGTCACGGGAGAATGAAACGTTCATATTTTTAGAGTTTTTTCGCGAGGTATTCTTCAAGCTTCTCCGTGTCTGCCGCTAGTTATCCTCGGCTCTCTTTGCAATGGCGGCGCTGTAAACAACAGCGGCGTCCTGACCAATCACAAGCTTGCGTAATCCGTCTCATTCGACGGATGTTTAAAAAAGTGGGCTCGACTCCGTACGTACTTGCGTGCCTGCCGGAGCCCTACGCAAGGACGGATAATGGCGTTGCGTGTCTCCGCACTGACGCAGACGGAGAAGCATGAATCAGGCTTAAGAGCCACATCCACTTTGGACGCAGACAAGCATTCCAGCTACTGTTGTGACCTGGAGACATCTCAAGACTGGACGGGTCGCATCGAAGTTAATCTATTGGCTTCAGGTGCCGTGAGGTCCACCCGACTTCTGACAGTCTGGATCTGCTGGGGGGTCTCCGCCAGGGTTTGAAGACACAACAGATTGGGTCTGATGCTATTTCAATAATAATCAACTCTAGTTTATAGCAGACAACAAATTATTTTACCCCCAGATTTCACAATTTCTTTCAGATACAAAGATTCTGATAAACATCTAACTTACATCACACCACCTACACCTCACATTCCATCACCGCATATCTACTCCATCACATCTCATTATTCATATCTTGTCACGCATAATCATTAGTTTAGAAAATAATAAAATTCCTTTTTAACTATATACCTGACTCTGTCTGAATTAATACAAAGTGTGTTTATGGTCCCTGAACAAGTAAAAGTAACTATAATACTCTGATTAAATGTTCAAAGATCAATCAAGTTGATATTTCATATTTATATGGAATCATCACATCTTATTGTCATAATTCATTTGCAGTCGTCACTCTATAAAGTGTGACCGCTACACCATTATTGTGACTGAAATTGAGATCTCAATTATTTAAGACAATTTTCAATTAATTTTGATTTTATATGTTTATTTATTCGGATTTTGCTCAGGGCACAATCAGGAAAAAAATAAATAAGAAAAAGAATGAAACAAGATAATCACAACAAATAACTCCTGATTCCTAGTAGAAAAAGACCAATATAATTGCTCATAGTTTATGACCCAAGGGCTATAGACCTTGGTTTAACTCATTTAAGTCTAACCAGTACAGACCCAAATACCAATATCTTGCAACTACTGACTGCAAGAATTATACTTTGACATTTATAACATAAATAAAAACATTAAAACATATATGTTTAGTGATGTTCACAAAATCTTGCATAATATTTATTTTGTCCTGTCAAGGTGCTGTAGTAGAGTGCACTAGCAACATGTCCTCAGTCTCAGAGAGATTAATTATTATTTATCAACGTGAGGAACTTATTTCTATCTATTTCTACCTATTTATTGACAGGTCCCATCAGTTAAAGTAATAATTGTCCCAACCACAGCGATCAGAGGTGCGCTGCAACCCCCAACGCAGTCTCGCAGCAATCAGGGGCAAGCTGCACGTGTTTAGCGTGACGCACGCTCATATTTTACTGCTTTGAGCAGCTCAGCAGCCTGCAGGTACGGTGTGTGCCACTCACTCTGGTTGATCCAAGAGAAAGCCGGCTCTGAGAGCCGTGTCTTTAGCGACCGACACATCACTACATCATTCCCTTTCCTAATGTCCTGAAGAACGGTCCGGGGCGCTGGCAGGGTGTTTTGCTGACTTACAGTAAATGTCGACAACAATTATCCTGAAAGAAGCTAAGGGTTACCAGAAAAATTTCTGGGTTTATCGCTATGTACTTTGAAGGTTTAAAAAGTCAAGAAGGAAGTCTGAGAAGCTGTTGGAAATAGCGACAAAGTTGCTAAGTTGGCAACACTGTGGGAGGAGCGCTTGATTTGCAACTCGTGGCAGCACAAGAGGGAGGAGCAAATAATTGGCTTGTTTTGTTTTTATAATCGTTCAAAACTCAGATCGTAATTGGTATTAAAATTAGATTTATTGAGCAGCCCTAACTCAGTCATAGATGACTCATAAAATGAATACTTACAATATAGACTCTTCAAGTGCAGATTGAACTGTCACATTATCAAGCTCTTCTTCACTTGTCTCCTCGGATACTTCCACATCATCCTCTTCACTCTCGGTCACACCTTCAGTCTCTACATCCTTTTCATCGGTTAGGTCAATGCATGACCTGAAAACAACAGCACATTAAATTAATTAACAGTAAAAATTTCTTTAGATTGAGGAAACACAAAAATTTCGATTTGTATAACACTTTTGAAAGCTGTTTATAACAGCACTTTATGAAGGAAGTTTTATTATTGAAAATGGAAATAATTAAATAACAATAATTGTAGCTATTCTATAATTTAAATATCAAAAGTGATAAATGATAATGATAAATGACCCGCAGTTGTACAGCACCTTTCAGAGTCAGAGGACTCCAAAGCGCTTTACACTACAGTGTATCATTCATCCATTCACACACACATTCACACACTGGTGGAGATGCGCTACGATGTAGCCACAGCTGCCCAGGGGCACACTGGCAGAGGTGAAGCTGAAGTCTGAAAAAGTCTGAAGGCTATGAACATCACTTCACTACAACAACAAAAAAATGAAATGTATTTACAAGTTTATTCTTGTATTTAGCCTTTTCTCATGTTAAGAACCTTAACACATGAATACAGTACACATACCCCTCACATTCGTTGAAGTGATTCTCAAGCTTATAAAGGGGGATGTCCTCTTTGCAAGACTTGCACTTCTCCAGCACAGTGTCCTTCAATAGAAAATATGTTGGGTTATTTCATTGATCAAAATGCTTTTTAAACTGTACTGTATGATATTTGCCTTTTAACCTAGTTATAACCTGTAATAAAAATGAACTTGTCATCTGTTGTATAATTGCTTTATATAAGTTATTGATCACTACTGTTTGTCAATCACACTTATCATGAGGATGTAATCAAGGGTAATCATGGTAGAGCCGAACATAATGTGATCATGAGGATGTAATCAAGATAATCATGGTGGAGGTGTGCAGCTTTGCACGCACATCAGGGAATGTATAAGGAGCAGAGCAGGGCTCAGGGGGTTAGAGCTGCTTGAAGGATTCTACCTGACGAGGTTCATGGATTACATGTGTTCAGTTCTTCACCTATCATGGATTACGTTTTCTAACTGGGGTGTTCAGCTCTCCACCCATAAGCAACGGTAAGAGAAATGTTTCGTTCATGATTGATAACTTGTATGAATGCCGGTTGAATAAAGCCTTGTTCATCTGATATTCAAGTTGTGTTTCATTGTTTCTGGCGTCGACTTGACAACGATCCTGATTAAATAAATATAAAGTGTAAAAAGAGACTTTGAGTCTTTTAAGGTAATTAAAATAAAATAAAACATTTTATTTTAGAACATAACCGTATAAAAATTGTGCTCCACAACTGTCCCACATATTTAAACACATTAATTCTAATTAACAAAGAACTAGCAGTGTTTTCTTTTTGCATTTACATGGTGCATATGAAACAATTTAATAAAATGCTACATAATTGAAGAATAATACCACGGGGCGTTTAGAGGTGTGCAGAATGAATGTAATGTATTTCCTTTAAAAGCTCTACTTTAAAGGTGAAATATTTTGGCTTGCTTTGAGCACCCCATAGTGTTGGTTTGTAGAACCAAAACCAATCTCATTGCTTTTTCACTAAACCAGACATATGGTATGGCATGATACTTAAAATATAATTATCCATCCATCAATCCATTTTCTTCCGCTTATCCATAGTCGGGTTGCTGGGGCAGTAGCCTTAGTCAAAAGGCCCAGACTTCCCTCTCCACAGTCATTTGGACCAGCTCTTCCGGGTGAATCCCATGGCATTTCCTGGCCAAGTGAGAGACATAGTCTCTCCAATGTTTCCTGGGTCTCCCTTTAGGTCTCCTCCGGGTTTGACGCGACCAAAAAACATCACCAAAGAGGCGTCAGGAGGCATCCTAATCAGATGCCCGACCCACCTCAACTGTCTCCTCTCGATGCGGAGGAGCAGCGGGTCTACTTCGAGCCCCTCTCGGATGACCGAGCTTCTCACCCGATCTCTAAGGGAGAGCCCAGCAGCCCTACAGAGACAACTCATTTTGGCCTCTTGTATCTGGGATCTTGTTCTTTCAGTCACTACCCAAAGCTAGTGACTAGGTGAGGGTAGGAACTTAGATTGTCCAGTAAATGCAAGTCAATGGGGCTAAAAAAGCTATTTTCTAATCCGCTTTACCTCATGCCCTGCATCACACATATGTTGTGCTGCAATTTAAATTAAAAGTAATTACAGGCTTTTCAAACATGCCAGTCATGTACTTTCAGAGTTATCAGCTTGTAAAAATTTGTCATCACATGACTACAAATCAGATGCAAATATGACGTCACCACAGAATCTCCTCTCATTTAGCGTAGCTGCTACTTACCACATGGCCAGATTTATGGTGGTTCTTTTCTCCTGAAGGAAGGATTTGAAGTTTGCTGAACTTACAGCCATTTTCATTTTGTTTTCCCCATGTTTGTTTTGAAGGAGCCCGTGGTCCAGAAGTAGATGGGCGTGACTTAGACTCCCTATTGAGGTCCCCATAGTGGGTGGTCAAATACGATAAACAATCTGCTTTACACAGCGAGGCTGGCCCTGTGGAAAATGGCTGACTTGGAAAGTCAAGCTTCTGCTTCTGAGCCCAGAAGATGTTATCATTCTCAGAAGAGGAGTGACCATAAAGGTTGTCACTGGACATAGTGCTGGTTGGTCACTTCACATATCAGCAGTGAGCCTGACATCCCAACGGCTGAAAACTTTGCTCCATTGTTGTAACTACAACGTCCACACACTAGATGTCACTTTGAAGTTTGTATTCTACATTCAACCTTTAAAATAACTTCGATCACTTAAAATTAGGGACGCTACAATCAAGTTTTTTGCTGTTGATACAAATCGCATGGATTGGCTGTAAATTTTTCAGTGCAGCTATGAGTGCTAATGACATAATCCACATCATCTTGTAATAGAATCATAACTTTGCCTTTAGACAGAAAATATATTTCTCTTACTTTTAAGAGAGAAAATTCTTTGGAGCGTCAGTGTTTCTTTCTGACCACAAATTATAAGCCTCCTACTCTCAAAACAAGTTTTAGAACAGAAGAAGCCTTTTGACTGAGAGACAAAATGCAGGGTTTCCCCCAGCGCTTTATAAGTCTGGCGGCCAGCCAGGCTTTGCTTGGCCACCCGCCACGCTAAGCGTCATGCCCTGCCCCCCTCCCCGACCCTACCGTGTTCAGAGACACGAATGGCGCAACAAAACTATAGCCCTCCGTCAGCTGATACTGGTGAGAAACAGCAGCGGAACGTGTGCAGAACGTGTGCAACGCCCCACCCCCACCACCGCTCTCACGGAGGAGCGTTGCAGGATGGAGTGCGCAACCACCACCACCCCCACCCCCACAAAACACAGAAATTATATATTTATAATATAATTACAAAATATGATTCTTACCATTGAACTGTTTGGTTTGTGTTCGTTGATTTGGGCAAGCTTCCCTTGAAGTGGCACAATGTAGGCCAAGGCCTTATTCAGGCCACTCTCCAACCTCAAATACCTCACACTGTAACCTGAGGAGGGCATTGGTATGTCGAACAACACTCTGTTCCGTCCACACCGCATCAACTTAAAGCCCCCTGCATCCATAAGCTGAGGGTATGCATTGGTGAGATTTTCAACAAAATCTTTGTGTGTCCCATTATTATTTGGGAAGGTCACCTTTCTTCTACCCAAACCCATAGTCTGGAGAATGCATCGCTCCTCAAGAGGTGGTGACATGTCAGACTCCGGATCAGAGAGGCAGAAGAAGTCATGGGACCAAGGCGTCTCATACTTTCTTTTTAAGTGGAGTTTCTTAGGGCCCGTTTGTTTAGGATATGGCCTAAATAAGGCAGACATCCTGGACTGAATCATATCTTGTCTTGATGGTCCAGGGTAAGGAGGAGGCTCAGTGGAAGCAAAGCGAGGCGCGCTGATAGACGAGGTACACGGCTGAGGGCTCAACATGTTAAAGGGACGATCATTTTCATTGATTGCATTCTTTGTCTCCTCCCTTTGAGTAGCAGCTATACACTGGTAAGACTGCTTCTCTGATTGTTTCTCGGTCACCAAAGGAATGAGGCACTGAACAGCATCCTGTATTAGACTTGCTGCTCTCCTGCTGGCTTCTTCATATCTGAAATCAGACAACAATATCAGACTTATGGAAAATGTTTGAGAAAGGACTAGCTAATTTTATCTTTATATATTTGCACTAAAATGGACTCCAACTATCAGTCGTTGGATTAAATCTTAATTTACCATATTCTTGCACCTGCAACAAACATATCTATGCAGCTGTCATTTCTTGCAAAAGAAAACTTCAGTCAGAGTAATTTTAACTTATTGTTTCCTAACAGAATTTCAACACCCTCACCATTATTAATGGTTAAAATGTTAAACATAGTTGAATCTAACAGATTTTGATGTAAATAGTAAACTGAACTAGGCTGACGTTAGCTTCTGTTTCCAGCTTCTGATTCGGCAAATGGCTAAAAGGGCAACCCGATCTTTCTCTACTCTGAGCATCTATAATCTGCTCGATCTTAAAAACTAAATTACTTGGGCAGCTGGTCTAGTTTACTCTGCACTTCTAGCAGAAATATTAAAACCACCTTCGGGATTTGTGACAGCTTTAAGTGATTTGTGAAACTTCAATAAAGCCAGATTTTAGCATGTTTTCTGAATAGACCACACTAAAACAGCTGTAGTTTAAAAATTACAATACCTAGATATTTTGTTCTGTTAGTAGTGATGAATAATCTAGTCCAGGTTTGAAAGATCTAAGTACTGTGATTATTAAACTACATCTGTTTTACTGTGGTCTAGCATACAAAAACATGATGCAATTTGATTTTATTTAAGTTTCAAAAATCAGTTAAAGCGTTCATAAATCCCAAAGGTGGTTTTAATAGTTTTGCAATTAGTGCAGAAAAACTCCACCAGATTAGAGCTGTCTAGGTATTTTAGTTTTTATTTTCCGGAGTTATATCAATATATACATGGAGCAGTAAAACTGGCAGCACACATATCTGTTGATTACAGAATTATATTGGTTCACATTTGGAGCTAAGACCAGCTGAGAACTCGTCAGTTTAGTGCTCCCGGTGGAGCACAAAAATTAAATATTTAACAAAATGTGATGGGACAGACAGATCTTGTCTGGTCCCATCCCAGTACAGAACCAGGTGGCTCACATTAGACTGATTGCAGGGCAGGTGAGCCATCCAATAAAAGGCAGGTGTCTGCTTCCAGCAAGACAGCTCTTGTATGGCACTTCAGGTGCTGGGGTACTGAGAGACTCCAACTGCAAGATGCGATCGTAAGTACTCTCCCTCCCGTGTTGCCTGTGCGGCGTTAGTTCATGCTCATTTCTTCATCTTAATTTGTTTGTAGCATGTGATCGCAGAATGGAGCTGCGCATGAGGTTATAGGGTTAACACTGCTAGTGATGGAATGATGATACCTCAAGGAGTGTATTGACACACTAGACAAACTGTGTCGGCACTGTACTGACACTGTGTTGGTCACTCAATAGCGACACCTGCAGTATTTCTAAAATAATTGCAGGTAAATAAGATGGAAAAGCTTACATGCTGCAAACCCACACCAGGTGTGCAAGATTTAATTTTCTGTAATCAAAATATATCATTATGTAATTTAATTTACTCAATTTAAGTTAAGTTGTTTATGAAAGGAGTTTAACATTTGCTTATAACCTTTGTGTAAATGTTACAATGAGTTGGCATGTTAAATCTGAATGTGTCTAATAAAAATCAGAAGTAAAAGTTTTAACTTATGTAAATGTGTTAACCTCTGTGTTAGATCATACAAAATAAAAGACTAAATATGGATTCATTTATGCATTTTTATTGAGGAACAAAAGTTTGTGCAGTGTGTTTGCTCCAAGGCGATTTCTCCTCTTAGACACCAGTTCCCCTGCCTTAGAAAACACTCTTTCACAGGGTACAGATGAAGATGGTGTGCATAAGAATTGAAGTGCGAGTTGATAAAGGTGTGGATATAAATTCTGGTTATTTTTCCAATATTGTAATGGGTCTTGTGTTCTTGGTGCATTTCTTTCAGCCAGGTAGCGTTGGACTTCAATTATGGAATTGGCTGTAGTATTAGAGGTCATCCTGCTCTCCTCAACCTCCATATCAAGGTGCCTCCAGAGATTGTGTCCTAACAAATAAATTGGAAATAAGTCTGTTAATCATTGGTTTACTATCACATGACAAACTTCCGCAGAAATAAACAAATATTCACAAAGAAATGTGTTTTCATACCTGAACTGTGTTCTGATCCACGTGAAGTGCTAGGCTCCTCTACTGCTGGGTCAGGCTCATGGCTCCTCATTTCAGCAGCACACTCTGACTTCAGTCTCTTGACAGCTTCAGTTGCTTTCAGTGGACTAAAAAAGCCAGCAGTTTTAAACCTGGGGTCCAACAATGTTGCCAGTGACATCACACTGAGCGATTCCATGTTGCAGATGGACTCGGTTAGCCGCTTTGACAGATTTTCAGCCAGCTGTTTAGCAGTGGGTTTTGTCACCGTTGAAGATTGATGTTGAAGCTCAATGTGGATCATTCTCATCAATGGAATAACCTTTGACCCCGAGACTCTTTTTTCCTCAGAGAGTTCTCTTGTGGCTTGGTAAAAAGGAGCAAGCACCCTGAGCATCTCTTCAATGATTTCAAATTCTTCTGGAGTCAGTGGAGTGAGATCAGTTTTTAATGAGGCCAGTGACACCCAGACTGCCTCCTTCTGCTCAGTCAGTCTCTCCAGCATGTGGTAGGTGCTGTTCCATCGTGTCGGCACCTCATTTATTAATTTATGCAATGGTGTTCCCAGCTGTTGCTGCATTTGAGTGAGCTTTTCCTTGGCCATGGTGCTTGATCGAAAGTATGTCACAATTTGCCGTGCTTTGTTGCGTAGTTCTGTTAGTGTTGAGATTTGATCACATGATTTTCTTACAATTAAATTTATGGAATGGGCAATGCAAATGGTTTGCCGTACTTGCAGCATTCGAGCACATGCAATCATGTTTGCTGCTGCATCAGTGACAAGACACCTGACTTTGCCTGCTATGCCCCACTCCTCCATGAGGCTCCTTTTAACTGTGGCCATGTTTTCTGCAGTGTGTTTCTGAGGGAAATGCTGCACTCCCAAGACTGATGAACAGAGTTCATGGCTTTCTTTGTCCACATAGTGGCAAGTAACGGCAAGATATGCCTCCATATTAATGGATGTCCACATATCAGCTGTTAAACTAACAGCAATGACGCTCTGGAGGTCCTTTTTTTTCTCCTTTTCCTCTTCATATTTCTTGCTCACCAAGTCCTTGATGACCTACAAGTAAACATACCAATACTGTAATACCAATGTTACATAAACACACACACACACACACACACACACACACACACACACACACACACACACACACACACACACACACACACACACACACACACCATGAAAGTAGTTGATTAATTAAAGCAAACATTTCTTAAACATACCTTCCTGCTTGGTAGAACATATGAGGGTGCAATAAGCTTCAGGAGCTCCCTGAATCCCTCATTTTCAACAATGGTGAGTGGCTGGCAGTCTTTGATGATCATGTTAACCACAGCATCATCCACTGCTTGCTTGTTAGGAACTGCAAGCCAAAAGGAAATACTTTTTTAAAAGCTTTAAAAAGCTTATGAAAAGGATTTTACAAGCAATACTACAGAGTCACACAAAGCCTTTTGTGTGTAATAGACTAATTTTGACAATTCAGATTTTTTGGTGATAATTTCAACATACCTGGGGTATCTACCAATTCATCGTTGCCATGCCGAGCTCTATAATGCCTCAGCATTGATGAAGTGCTCTTATTTGTGTAAGACAGCTCTGTGGAGCAGAGCCGACACTTCACCTACAATAAAATAAATAGTTAATTTATCTGAAAACAATTTAAGCCTCTTACCAGAGAAAGACTACAAACACATTTACAATACAGAAATAACAGTAAACGTTGCCAAATGGAGAAAACAATTTACCTTTTTTGGCGTCAAAAGATCAAAATTATTCCAGACTGGGGAAAACTTCTTGGAACGATCCATGAAGTCAGCGGAGAGAAGTGAGCGTGAGGTAAGGAAAAATCCAAAATCAAACAGCAAACAGCAAAACTCTAACCAACAAATCCGCAACATGTCGATACAGTTTGTTTCCTTATAAACACAATTTGGCGCGGCGCATCCAAACGACACACAATCCTGTGTCGGTCACGTGATATTTTCTTAAAGCGATACACGCACCGATACGGGGTTTCACTCTTGTGCAGTCGACACTGTGCTGACGCGCCAGTGTCGTTCGTCCCATCACTAAACACTGCATCCAAGTACTCCTTGTCAGCTCTCTGCCCATGTGGGTGTATCAGCCGTATGAAGGCTGATCTGATCCAGTGGCGCAACAACCGTCCATAAGTCCTCGCCTCTGCTTGGGGAAGGTTGTGCTGATCTAGGGGGACCATGCCAGTTTTGTTTGTTTGCAGTGTGGCTGCCTGTGCTGGTTGGCCCGAGAGCCGCTCTTCCATCCGGTTTTGCCTGCAGCGGTACCACATAGATCAGCGGCGCGTCTGATGTCGGCAGCGGTGAGCCTTCTCCTCTACTGCTCCATCTCGCCGTCCTGCCATTACCAATTCCATCTACCGAGCTGGTGGTATGCCCAGGGGGCTGCATCACTGCAGTTTCGTCTAAATTTGTTTTAATTAGATGTTGGGCTTTAAACGCCTGGTTGATGGGGCAACCACCAGAACCCCCACAGGATTAAAAGGAATTATCCTGATTTCTTTTGCTAGTTTTTTTTTTGTATGTTTCATTATTTTTATTCTTTTAAATTTTTCATGTTTAACTTTGTTTGCCCTCGGCCTGTGTAATTATTGTGGACTGACTGCTGATAACTGGACACTGAGCACTTCATCTGTAAGCTTTTAGCCTATCTATAGATATTTAAATAAAGATTTGCTTTATTGGAAAGACGCCATCTGTTCCCATAGTGATTGAACTTAAGGGCCTTCTACCCTTCTCTAGGGGATTAACCCAGGGTGGCGTTGTTGGAATTTATCCTTAATTTATTTATGTTACGACTACCACTAGCCACAAAAAGTAAACTGTACCGATTTTGCTTCTGGTC